CCCCCTCGAGCTTAAAAAAAAAAAAAAAAAAGAGATAGAAAGCGAGAAATCACCCTCGGGGGGATGGTCACATTGCAGTCCTTTCTCCTCCATTCTCCTCCCGGGATCTTGGGCACGCACGCACATGCGCCTGGCGTGAGTTTAAGCCACCGGGTCTGGGACTCGAACTGCAGTCGGCTACATAGGAGTTCAGCGACATAGCCATTACACTAACTGCTGGTCCCCACTCAGTGGGTTCTCATGTAACCATTAAATCCGCTGACTATGAAGACTGTATGGCAACTGGGGAAAATGTTTATAGTATAATGCTAGAGAAAAAAAGCCGAATATAAAATCATATCTACATTATGATTCAACTATTAAAAATATATATGGTGAGTCATGAGCTGACAAAGGATATTTGAGTTTCTTCCAGATGCAAGAAGCAATCAAGACATGCAATTTGGATGCCAAAAATATAGCTTGTGGGGTAGTTGATGGTAACTTAGAGGGACAATGGGACAGAATATTTTACATCTGGCCATCCAGGAACATTGGGTGTGTGACTGCTGAGAGCCAGAGAGCCGTGTATCAGTACTCAAAGACATGGGACCAGCAGTTGGTGCTGGACTTCCATGTAGCCAACCGCAGTTCGAGTCCCGGACCTGGTGGCTTAAACTCACGCTGGGCGTGTGTGCGTGCGTGCCCAAGATCCCAAGAGGAGAATGGAGGAGAAGGGATTGCGGCATGGCCATCCCCCTTGGGGGGTGATTTCTCGTTTTCTGTCTCTCTGGTGCATGCATGTGCCCTATAGCAACAGACCAGCAAAAAAAAAAAAAAAAAAAAAAAAAACCCAAAAAAAAAAAAAAAAAAAAAAAGGAATACTCAAAGACAAGGGAGAGAGAACTAGGGCTTAGTGTGTCAGCATGGGCGAGTGGGGCCAGTCCCACCATTTCCTTTGACGATTGTCCACCGTTCATACAATATGGGAAGGAAAGCTAGCCCCCCTTCACACTCGGCTTTACTGCTGTGCCCCTCTCGGCCCCCTTCCCTCTGGCCTTTTCTCAGCCCCTGTCTGTCCCCCAGTCCCCAGGGATTGACACTGCCTCTTATCACTCTGCCACAGACTCCACGGCTGACCCTGAAGCCGTCCTGGCTGAAGCCTCGTCCCGGCTCTACTCCCGGTTTGGATTCTCCAGCTGTACCCTGCAGGTGGAGCAGTACCAGCCGGAAATGGCCCAGTGCCTGCGCTGCCGGGAACCCCCCCAAGCCTGAGCCACGGTCCTGCCCTCACCCCACTGCCAGGCCCACGCTCAGCCCTGGACTCTCCGCACCTGCCTCGCTGATCATGGAGAAGGGACCGAGCTGGGCCCATACCCTTTCCTCTCTCCCTCCTCCCTGCCAGCCCCAGCCCGAGCCCCCAGCCCCAGTGGGCAAGACCAAAGTGTGTGGAGGAGTGGCTGGGAGTCGGTCTGCATAGATGCGGCCAGTTCAGGAGCGGGGCCTGCGGGCCTCAGGGCGGTGGGGGTGTGTCGAAGTCCCCACGGTCGGGGGCCGTGAGCGTCCTTTCTGTGCAGTGCATCTGTATGGCTGGTGGCCTGGGACATCTGCCTGTCTGTGCTGTCTGTGCCTGTGCCTGGGGGAGGTCAGCAGGGGCCCCCTCCCCACATGGCTCTCGCTCTGTCTATGCAGGGGCCCCAAAGCCTGCACTTTGTTCGTGTGTCCTAGCCCTGTGGTTGTGTCTCTGTGTCTCTGTGTGTGAGTGTGTCTCTTGGTGCTGTGGCCCATGTGTCTCTGTGCCTGTGTGGCTGTGCTATGGTCTCTATGAATCTGCCCCATCCACCAATCGTCTGGGAGTCCGTCTGTCCATCCTCTGTTGGTGCTGTGCCCTCAGTTGTCCCAGAGAGAGGAAGGACCGCTGCAGCTCCATCAATAAACTCATGTCTCACTGCGTCGCTCCACTCTGCACTGACTCCTCAGGGGAGTAGGTCCCGTCTGCCGTCTGTCATCTGTCATTTGGGGAACTGACGGAGTTCCCGAGCTGGAGGGACCTGCCATGGCCCTCCTGTCCCTTCCCAGCCCCTATACCCTCGCCACCCTCAAACGTCCATTTGGATGTAGGCTGTACCCAGCAGGCTCCCTGCTCCTCTTCCCTTGTTCATGGCCTGCTGGAGCCTGGGTCCTTGACTCAGGGAGAGACCCCTGGCACGCTGGGCTTGGTTGCAGGAGAGAGCTGGAAGGCTGGGAGCCCCGGGCATCATTCATTCCTACAGGGTGCTGGTGGGAGAAAAGCGTTTTGGGGAGAGCGGTTGGACCACCGCACCGAGGTCCCCGTAGTTCTCAGGCTGTATGAGCTGCTCAGGGGAGGGCGCCCGCAGCCCGGATGGCCCCAGGTTTAGGCGTGGGCGCTGTGGGCCTCATTCGCAGTCACTCTTCTTCACCCTGAGAATCACGTAGTCGGACAGATTTGGTCGTAGGAGCCAGTCTCATTAAGGGTCGAGGTTCTCTTTAAAAAACCCAACTCTGTGCTTTTATTTCAGTTTTACATTTGCTAGAGGGCACATGTGCTCACCAGAGAGTCAGAGACAGAGAGTAAGAAAGCACCTTCCATGGGGCATGGCCACACGACAGTCCCTTCTCTGTCTCTTCTCCTTTTAGGGATTTTTAAAAAAGAATTATTTAACTTTATTTATGTATTTATTTATATTAATTTGATTAGACACAGAGAGAGAAGTTGAGAAAGCAAGCCACCAGGTGCAGGACTCGAACCACAGTTGACCATATGAGAGTTCAGCTCCCTCAACCACCATGCCACCTGCCCACCCTAGGATTTTTTTTTTAAAGGTTTATGCCGTGGGGAAGACAGCAGGTGGTGTGGCTAAGGTGCTGGACACTCCCACATGGCCGACCATGGTTCGAGTCACCAACCTGGTGGCTTACTTTCTCACCTTCCCTCTCTCTCTGTGTCTCTTTCTGGTCAAATTTTTAAAAAAAAATGAATGAATAAATAAATTTTTAAAAAAGTTTATGCCGTAGGGTGTGTGCACTCACTGGAGAGAGATAGTGAAAGGGAAAATGAGAAGTCATCCCGCAGAGGGGATGGCTATACTACAATCCCTTCTTCATTCTCTGGAGATTTGGGGCACACACACATGCCTGGATGTGAACCATAGTCAGCCACGTGGAAGTCCAGCACCTTAACCACCACATAACCCATTGACTCCAAATGGGATCATTTTATGGATGAAGTCTTGGATCCTGTTTTCATGACCAACCATACATGTTGAACACATGTCCCCATGTCAACACATCGATTTCATTACTTTTTTTAATTGTATTTTTTAAACTTAATTTATTATCATTATTTTTCAATTTTCACCAGAGAGAGAGAGAGAACAAGCCACCAGGTCTGGGAATTGAACCACAGTCAGCCATGTGGGAGTCCAGTGCCTTTAGCCACCACACCACCTGCTGGCCCCAGGTTTCATTACTTTTTCAAAGGCAAGGTTTGAAGAGTCATTGAAAACAGGCCCTTTTGCTGGTCTACCTGGAGTGTGGCCAGGCCGGGTGACTGGCCGCCGGTCTACTGGCCGAGATTGGCGCGGAGGCTAGCTGGGTGGACTGGCAGCCTGTCACACGCCGGTGGTTGGAGCTACCCCAGCTGCTCTCTTGGCTTGGCTAATTCCGATACTTTCTCATTTTACGTCTCATTGATTACAGGCCCCGAGTGACAGGATGGGGGTGGGGGAGAAGAGGATGGATTTTCACCTCATGAACAGCTGTGAGCCCAGCCTTGTCCTGTGTGTGCAATGCCAGGTCCCTTTACAGGGCAGGGAGCCTCACCAAGCATGCAGTCCATCTGCCCCATGCCCAGTTCACCCAGGAAGTGACGGGCAGGAGCAGAGCTCAGGCTCTCACCCCCAGGCACCCTCGAAGCTCCAGCTCTGTTTCCTTCTCAGCAAACCTTCTCTCAGCTGTTTCTCCAGCAGCCTGCTGCCCTGGGTGCTCCCAGTCCTGGGACTTGGGGGACAGAGGGCCAGACTTCGTGGTTCTGACTTTGCCTTCTACCCATCTGGTCAGAGAGCTACCCTCTCTGCAGGTCAGCCTAAGTGTAAAAGAGGGACACGTGACATCGTGGGGTGAATCTGCCTGGTGTGGAGAGGGTGTGCACAAACAGCGTCCGGCCAGCCCTGTAGCCTAGTCGTTAAGGGAGCTGGATCCCACGTGGTCGGCTGGCAGCTTGGGAAACACACAGGGTGTGGATGAGTGCGTGCCCCAGATCCCAAGAGGATGGAGAAATGGAGAAGGGATCGCTCCACTGGGGGGTGCTTTCTCTTTTTTCCTCTGTCTTTGGCAGTGTACACATCCTTTAGCAACAAACAAACAAAACAAAAAACAAGGAATTAGCCTTTGGGTTGAATCCTGGATGCAGAGGAGAGTGAGGAGAACAGGGAGGCCCAGCATCCAGACAGCAGGGACAGGGGCCAACCCTGACTGTGCTGTCTGCTGTGTAAGGCGTGTGAGGTGACCACAGCACCTGCACCTTGCAGAGGGAGAAACTGAGGCTTACCTGTTCATGGTCATGCAGCCAGTGACTGTCAGGGCTGAGATTCAAACTCCGTTCCACCTGCGGGAACTCGCGGTTCCTTTTCCATGTCACTGCCTCCACGCTCCTTCAGGAATCATCCTGCCAGGGACGGGAAGGACAGGAGGATCAGCCAGACCGTCTGGGCGTATTCTTCCGCATTCATGCCTCACTCCCTCCCGTGGGAGCCCAGGACATCCTTATCTGCAAAGCTGCCTGCACACCCTGCCCCATGATCCCCTGCCCGCTGCCTCCACTTGCTCATTCATTGGTTCCTTTCCTCTGGGTGCCATTCCCTGCTGATAAACTAAGTGGTGGAGGGAGAGGTGAGGAGGGGCCCGACAAAGGGAGGGGGCAGGGGAGGACCCATCCATTAGCTAGCCTGGCAGCTCTTTACACAGCTGATTAACTCTGAGAGGGGAGGGCCTGTGAGCCAGACAGGGCCAGAAGGGAGCCCTGACTGAGGATGGATGGAGAGAAGGGGGGAGAGAGGCAGGGGCCGTCATGCTGAGAGGGTTGGAAAGACTGGAGGCCACAATGGCAAGACAGGGATTTGAGGTCCTCTGCTGCTCGGGACTGGGCGGGAAAGGGGACAACTATGTGGGTAGGCCCTCCCTCCTCACTGGTCTGCCCTCTGGTGGTAGCCCAGGACAGGACTGCACCGCAACTGGGAGGCGAGGGTGGAGGACCCAGCCAGTCGGAGTGGAAGGAAGCAGCGGACAATGAGGCAGTGTCCACCTCCTGCTCTTCAGGGACCTCTGTGCAGGCTGTCTGAAGAGCCATGGGCTGCCCTGGCTGCCTTGAACTTGATCATCAGAAGGGGAGCAGCACCCCCCCTGAGGCCTGCACCATGGCAGCAGCAGAGGCCACAGGGAGTCTGGAGGGAATCTGAGGACGGGAGTGAGGATGGGAGGGCCCCGACCTCTGTGGAGAACTGTATTGAGGGTGTTTCTTTTCTAGTTGAAGGACTCTCCACTGCTGACTCTGGGAGTTTCCAGGGCCTCCCTGACCTGGCCTGAGCCCAGGACATCCCATTAGCATTGGGCCAGTTTCTTCCAAGGGGTGCCAGGCACTTCCCGGACCCCACTGGAGCAAAGCCGGAGGCCCAGATGTGCTGTGATCACACAGGGGGCCCTGTTGCCAGGACTGACCAGAGAAAGAGAGTGGGGAG